GGAGTGCGACGAGCTTGGTAGCAAGGAAGTATGAAGTGAGGCGAATATTTCTCTCTTGTACAATAGCAATACTCATATATTTTTTCACACTTTACGAAGGAGGTTTGGGTACCACATAAATAAGCTACTTATTAGCTTATTGACTTATTTCTATCAAATTACTTCTCTACTTTTTGCACGTCTGTTTGTAATAAGCAACTCAAATGTATTGGTAAGATGGTTGAGACTAAATTAGCTTACTAAAAAACAAAATAGGTTAAAAAGTCAATAAGACAAAATATCACATCCAAACTATAATCATTTTATTTTTTCTCTCACAATTATCCAAAAAAAAAAAACCAAAAATTCATCCCAAGCAAAATATTTTTAATTGGACTAAAATAATAAAAAAATCCATAATAAAAAATTCTTCTCAAACGAGGGCTTACTAGTTAACATGTTGCATTTCATCGTGCAGTGGTGGCCATGAAAAGAAGACACATGCCCTACTTGCTCTCTTTGCTAATGAAACAAATAGCAAGTCGCAAAGCCATCGACAAATCCACGCTCAATTGATCCTCAATGGCATTCACTCAACTGGAATGTCTATGACAATATGGAATTACCTACTTCGACACTACTCTCTCGGTTCCTACCCCGAAGAAGCTGCCTTTCTCTTCAAGAACCTCTAACTTCTATACCTACCCATCATCTCCTTCGACAGCTATTCCTACTCTTTTCTCATAAAGGCTTGCACTAATTTGGAACAACCTACTTTGGGTACTTAGGTCCATGGCCTCATTGTCAAAGCCGGCTTTGAGCATCACATCTATGTGCAAATTGCTCCGGTCAATATGTATTCGGTTTGTGGGTGTTTAGTTGAAGCACAACAAGTGTTTGATGAAATGCCTGAGAGGAACTCAGTTACTTGGAATGCCTTGATCACTGGTTTAACTAAATAGGGCCAGATTGGCCTTGCCCATTATCTCTTTGACCGTATGCCATCTTAGAATGTTGTTTCGTGGACTAGTATCATTGACGGGTACTCACGGTTGAACCAACACAAGCAAGCTTTGGCCTTGTTTCGGACAATGGTTGTGGATAAGGCTATTAAACCAACTGAAGTAACAATCCTAGCAATTTTTCCCTCCATACGGAATCTTGGGTGTCTCGAGTCTTTCCAATTAATTCATACTTATGGAGAGAAAAGTGGGTTTAATGAGTGTGACATTTGAGTTACCAATTGTCTTATAGATGCGTATGCAAAGTGTGGGTGCATTGAGAGTGCAGTAAAAGTCTTCCATGGCATAACTTGTGAAAAGAGGAATTTGGTGTCATGGACATCTATATCTCTGGATTTGCAATGCATGGAATGGGAAAACATGCAGCAGATAGTTTTAAAGGAATGGAAGATGAGTGTTTGATGCCAAATCGTGTAACGTTCTCGAGTATTTTAAATGCTTGCAGTCATACCCTCATCATGAATCATGCAAAATTAATTGAAAACTTTGAACTTGAAAAATTACCGTTTGGGAGTCCACCATAATAAAATTCAAAAATTTACCAACAACAAATTTCTTTGTGCCGACATTTTCTGTCTTGTATTTTTTCTCCAAAGAATCCCACAATTCTTTTGCTGTTTTCGGAGGACTGCAAACATTATACAACATATTGCTCAGGCCATTGAGGATGTAGTTTCTGCATAAAAAATCAGAATGTTTTTCCAGGCATCTACAGCGGCAATAACTTGCCGATCACTTTCATCCTCTTTAAGTACTGGGGCCTCTTCACGGAGAAACCGGGCAAGATTACGAATTGTAAGATAGAACAACATTTTTTGCTGCAATCTCTTAAATTCGGTGCCATTAAATTTTTTCCTTTTTTTTCCATGACTCATTGGAACTTGAACATGGTTTTGGGTAAGGACCAGAGTCATTGTAACAATCGAATTTGGAGTACTACTTTCAGAAACCATAATATTTGATTACAAAAATCAGAAAAAACCAAAATCAAAACACAAATTAATTTTTTAGTTACTAAAACCAGAAAATAAGTTATAACACAAAATAATATTACTTTCCTAGTTTCTAGTTATTAAAACCAGAGAAATAAAATACTACACAATTGTTTTGTTACAAAAATCAAAAAATTATTTTATTGGATTTAGAAAAATAGGTTTATAAAATGAATTTTATTAGTACAATGAAGACTTATAAAAGAAACAAAAATCTGTCTTAAGATTGTTAGACAATCTTCACTGTATTAAAATTAAATTCAGTTTGTGTACTCAACAACAAACAGAACACACAGGAAATAAATTAAAAGAAAAGTTTTTCCAAAATCTATTTAATTGCAGAAACTAAACAGAAAATGGAAATAGATAAGGAGAGAAGAAAATAAAATAAGAACAGAAAATACTTACAGAAAATATTTTCTTAGAGTGATTAAGTCCAGTGTTTAACACCGTCTCTTTAAAACAGATTCGTTCTCTCTAGGGTGCTCACAGAATATTGACGTCTATCTCTCAGGATGAAATGATCTACAACGAATAGTAACAACACTACAAACTATTCGTACAACGAACATACTTTGTGTTTATACATTTTTTCACAAAAAAATTAAATACAACAAAATACAGAGAGCAATGGCAGAAAACAAGAACGAAAATTAAAGTGCAAAATCCAAATGAGGGTCTGTTTATTTATAGGAGAAATTGTGGCTTTTCAGAACAGGTAAAAACCTGTTCGGAACAGTGTTGAACAGAGAGAAAACCTGTTCGGATTTGAACTTTGGGTTTGAACTGAACATATATGAACCTGTTCGGATAGGTATGAAATCTGTACAAAAAGGTTTGAAGGGGTGTAAGCCAAAATTTGAATATTTTTTTCAATCAAAATTTGAAATCACAACCGAACAGAATTTATTTTCCAAACAAAAAATAAAAATAAATTCAAATGTAATGTTTTTGGCCTAAGAAGATAAGTTTTGGGTCGAACAAGTCTAACCCCACACTACATATCCGCGCCCAAGCCCAGTCCACCCGATCGACTGGATGGCGCATGTGCGTTTGTTTTGAATCCAATGAGTCTAGCCCACTTTGTCCATAACCTCACTATTCCACAAAACTTAGGTACCCCTTGAAGCCCTCCTGAAGTTATAAACCCAAGCCTTATAAACCCACACCAAGTTTGCCCACCAAAGCAATGTGGGACAAATCTTAACACCAACCTTTATGGAAATTTCAACCAAACATACCATTTTCATGGAGCTCACTTTGGCATTAATTTTTCATTCACCCGATAATGGTTTTAAGCAACTAAATATACGATGTGAATCGTTACACAGCAAAGAACGCGTTGCCACATGGACCAGCCAACTTTGGCGTATGGATCTTACCTAAAAATTAGACCAAAGTTTAGAAAAAAAATCTGTTTTATTCCAAACCATTTCTTATAGCTTCTTATGTCATATGTCCCTTATTTTTATACTTAAAAAAAATTAGATAAATAGAAGGAATGGGATTTCACATTGAACCTTCAGTTAAGAAAATTCTTACTACTTAAACTAACATACAATATATAATGAATATTTAATTTTAATTTCATTTATTTAAATTACATACGTGGATCAACTGTTTATATATATATATATATATATATATATTTTTGGGGGTTAAAATGAAAATTTGAAATTTGGATTTATTTAAATTACATACGTGGATCAACTGTTTATATATATATATATATATATATATTTTTGGGGGTTAAAATGAAGATTTGAAATTTCGTAGGGACATGTTTTTTAGTAAGATGAGCGTACCAAAATAAATTTCTTCATTTTTGAATTTTCATGTTTCTCAACGTGACAATGTCTTCCAATGTGAACATTATTTTGATTAATGTTTTCAAAGGATATAATTATCTCGTTTTAAGAACCTAGTTGCATTTTTATCAATTTGGTTTGTCCAAAACCATCCTTACGTTTCCTCGGATGCACCCAAACATGGTATTAGGTAGAAGCAGATTTCATTTTTTTTTTTATTCTTTTGAGTAAATTACACTGACACCCTTTAAAATTTGTCTTTAATATAAGTATTTCCTTATATTTTGAAATTACATCTCGTCTTAAGGTTTAAACTTTTATTATAATTTAACCATTCCGTTAGCCGATCATTAAGTCAACTAACAAAAAAAACTAATATAAAAAATTAAAATTTTAAAATGCATATTTTACTCTTATTAAAAAAAATACTAGATAAATAAACAAAATCTAAAGGGAATTATAAAAATCCATTCAATATATATATTATTATACTATTAAACATTTGGATAATGCTATGGTACAAAAGTTTTGTGGTATTAATTATCACAAATATCATAATTAGATCATTTTTAATCATAATTAGAAAAAAATAGTTATAACCAAACACTATATAAAGTATAACCTAATACCTTTTAAATCATAATCAAAATAATCAATAGTTATAACTAATATTACAATAAATCATAACCAAAAGCAATGATTGGGGTATATAAAATTTTTCTAAACGGTAAATTATTTGTCAATTTTATATATGTAAACAAATGTAAAATAGACATTTTATAAAATTAATTTCTTATATTAGTTTTTTTGTTAATTGACTTAGTGGTTGAGTAACGAAATGATTAAATTATAATGAAAGTTTAAACCTTAAAGAGAAAAATATAATTTCTAAAATGTGAGAAAGATATTTGTATTAAATAGAGACAGTGGTGATAGATCCCACTAAAAATGGACCACTAAGCCAGCTCTAATGAGCTGGTAGTCCAGAAAATAAAAAAAAAAAACAAAGAGCAAACACCAAATCAATTAAAGGCACAATATTTTTAAAATTATTAGAGCTCATTATTTTAATGGTCTCAAACAATTTTCTAAATAGAGATACAATGGAAATCCTAACCTATGAATATACATGGAGAACCTATCCACATATATGAATTTTCCCCATTTTTTTAACCCATCGGATTAATTAAGGGTTTTTTACCATAGGATATGGGGTGGGAATGGGTACCCGCCCATTTCCCATTTCGCATTTCCCCACCCATATGTTGTGTTTTGGGTTCTCAATCTCATGGTCTTCTGAATCTCATTCTCACTCCCACATAGCAGCGAAGGCAACGATCTGCATCGGATTTGCGAAGGCAACGATCTCCATTGGATTTGCGAAGGCAACGATCTAGCGGCGGCGATCTCCGTCGGCGTTACCACGGTGGTTCTCCGGCGTGGTGAGTTTCTCTATCTCGTTCTCTTGTTCTATTTGTGTTGACAAATTCATCTATTCGATCCTCTTCCTTCTCTTCCACTCTTGTTCTGTGTATTTTTCCGTCGTAATTTGCATTGTTATTTCTTTTTCTTTTCCTTTTCCTTTTCTGTCACTTTCTCAGCTTCCAAACAGCACTGTTTAGGTTTCCCCCCTTTCTCAGGGAGGTTGGTTAAGAGAGCGTATGATGCATTGTTGTTGGACGCTGGTGGCACTCTTTTGCAATTGGTGAAACCTGTCGAAGAGACTTACGCATCAATCGGCAGAAAATACGGTTAGCTTCACAGAGTTGTTGCTTTGATTCATGGAAATTTTAACTCAATGTTGTTTAAAGCTATGGATTTAAATCAGTTGTGAATTATGATGCATTTGGAAATTGTTAGCTTTGACTTCTCATGTGGAAGATGAAATTTATTTACTGTCTATCTATTTTCTTGGGACTTTTGCAGAGTTATACATAAAATGCAATTAAACAAAAGCTATGGATTTAAATCAGTTGTGAATTATGATGCATTTGGAAATTATTAGCTTTGATTTCTCATGTGGAAGATGAAATTTATTTACTATCTATCTATTTTCTTATATTTTTCATTTTTTAATCTAAGCTGTCTAGATATATATTTTCTTCATTTCTCTATTTTTCAGCGGTGTCCAGCCTAGGTCTCTTGCAAGTGGGATTGCAACAAAATCACAAACTGGACTTGCTATTTCACACATTTTGATTGTCAACCAAGTGTAGAATATATATTAATATAATATAATATATCTGCAAAAGTAATATGAATTCAGAAAACATAAATATAATAAAAGTATCTTCAAAAAGTAATATGAATTTAGAGAACAAAAGGCACTTGATTGAACCATGGTGGTGGTTCTGGTTTACCATCATTTGCAACAATGGTTGCGGCATATTCTTAAACACATTCCATCAAGTATTTTTTAATATATATATATATATATTGCTGTATTTGGTTAGGAGGATAGATTGAACTATGTATCCTAATAATCATTTGCAACAATGGTCTTTGTTTTACTGTCTTTCACACGCATTGGAATGATGAAAATGTACGAATATCGTATAATTAGACGAAAGATTAAGCATTTTTTTCTCAACAAGAAAACAGATTAACTAGGATTTTTATCTTTGTGAATCTCTGTTCTATCATTTTCTGACCATCATGATGATAGAGAGTTAATAATTGGTTGGGTAGTTGAAATTGGAGATTACAGTTCATGGAATTGTAGAATTAGATGAAAGATTATAGACCTTGGTTTATCTTTCTTACTCTTTCTCAACATGAAAACAGAGTAACTAGGGAGTTTCATCTATGTGAATCTCAGTTCATGGAATTTTGCTTGCAGATTATTTTGTTTAGGAAAAACCCATCAAATGAATCTACAACCCAAAACAATTAGCAAACTATTAATGAGAATTTTGAGATATTAGGCTGTAGCCTTTTTGTGTTAGGGTTGTGGTGGTCTTCTTCCTCACGTCTCTTTCTTCTCTCTTCTCTTTCCTTAAAGCGTTCTTCATCAGTGGGACTCTTGGTTTCAGCTAGTGGCTTTGATTTCCCTTAGCGCAGTTCTCTTGATTTAGACTATAAACTGTGTATTTTGCAGTCATATTTTTGGAAATGCTATTAAAAGTGGCAGTCTGTTAGCCAGATTAAAATGGTGTGCATAGTTTCTTGTTTGTATGATGCAGTTCTCTTTCTTTTTTATTTTTTTGGGTATAGTAAATGGTGGCAGACAAGAAAGAAGTTTAAACCGAAATATTGTAATTTATTTACAATTCTTCCTTGTATGAGGGGTAATTTGTACAAAACTAGTATGAATATGAGGGTTAAGGGAGAGAATCCATAATTTTTATTATTCTATCATCTCAATAATGTGTTCCTTTCCACTCTCTTCTTGTTTTACACCATATTCAACTTGGTATCAAAGCTTTGAATTTGGCGTTTTTGGAATAAAACCAAAACTGCTGTAATGTAATTTTTTTGCTCTCCATGGTCAACTAGGAGAGCTGATTCTTCTTATATTTTTCATTTTTCATTTTTTAATCTAAGCTGTCTAGATATATATTTTCTTCATTTCTCTATTTTTCAGCAAGAATGGGTATTTTTTCCGGATCTGTTCATCGAGTCCTGTTCAGAGCAATTTTCTGGGTTTTCTGCTACTAGGAACGCTGACTAGGATCATGGATGTATTACCCTAGATCCCTGAGTCCTGGTTGATGGTTTTGATGCTCTAGGTGTTTTGGTTGATAGAGAACAGTGTTTGAGCAGCCTACTTTTCTTCCTTGTGTGCCTTGTTAAGGATTGGGTGGGGTCTGGCAGATCATTTTTTTGAGAGCAGTAGTGCTTCTGATAAGGAAAATGCAAATTTTAGAATGCATAGTAGGTTCTAACCAAAAAATTGCCAAAAACTCAACTTTCATGATTTTAAAATTCATTAGTTCCACACTAGTGAATTGAAATTTTATAAGTTTAGTACTACTCTTTTCAACTACTTCCCACATGACTTCTAATCCACCCTCTGCTTCAATCCGAAGAAACTGATGAAGAAAGAGTTAGAACAATATGTATTGGGCATATTGGTGCAATTTCAATCTAATTAGTCATCGATCAACCAAACAGAGTAATTGGTTTTCAAGTCATCCCCCAATTTACTATACGTTTCCAAAACAATATTTAAAGAACACCTTAAAACACTAGATCAATTTATATGCATACAAAAACATGAATCAAGTGCTGGACCCAAACCATAAAATAAAGTAATCGAATTGACACAAAAAGTTAGCACTAAGATAACTTCTATAGACTTATTTATTGGGGTTGAGTTTTATTTCTTGTTTTGAGAAGTTTTATTTAATTTCTGGAGTTGAGTTTAGTCATATGAGTATGCAATTCCTAGTCTTATTTATTTATTTATTTATGTTCTCAAGGATTTTTAAGCATTGATAATGTCAAAAGTTGTAGCAATCTCTCAAGCAAACTCTCAACTACCAGTCGATGGTTTACAACCATCAATTTTGGTTGAGAGTGAGACCTCTCTACCATCATAGCCTCCTCTCCCTAATCAAAATGTCCTTGATGTAGATGATTCTGATTCTAGTTTAGCCACTAGAAAAAACCCAAGTTTTGTGTGGCAACACTTTAAGAAAGAAAAAATTGATGGCGTATGGAAAGCCATATGTAATTATTGTAAGAAGCATCTTGGGGGTAATCCGAAACATGGAACTTCACATTTGCGTGATCACTATAGGAGTTGTCTTAAGAAAAGGAAGGGAATGGACATGAGGCAAAGACTTTTAACTAGTTTCTCCAGTTAACCCCTCTCATTTTCATCACATCTCAAAATAGGATACACACACACAGAAATACATAAATCATCTACCCAAGAATTTCAAGCCACTCTATCGTAAGAACCACTACCAAACACTCATTAAATTAGATAAGCTAATTGCAAAATGAAATTCATCCACTTATTGTTGTAGAAAACCGAATGTGGTATTATGGACATACAATCCAATCCAAGTTTTAGTCTTCAAAGATGCCTAAATCGCAATTGACAAACAGCAAGAAAAGGAATTAACACTATTTCACACTTCTCCCTATGTGAGCTTAGCCATTTAAATAATTCATCTTTCATGTACAATATTTACATCACGAGAGGAAGATCTTATTGCTTTTCAATCACAATGAAGTGAACACCACTTGAATTGATCAGAACAACAATGTTACAAAGAGAAAACCCATGTCACACTACAATCCTACAGATCACCCTGAAAATCAATTACAAAACTCAACCTATTGGCGAACATATAAAAACTACAGCTACTCATACTACAAATGACTTGCATAGTAAAAAAAATGTGGGTTTCTGATCATTTTATATTGTAGATGGAAGTTGCTTTGGCTTCTGCTTAACCAACAAGGTTGAAAGTGACTGTCAAATTCAGCATTTTCCATATCATTGGTTTCTTGGTTCTGATCCCTGAAAAATGTATATGAAATTATATCAAACATAAATGATTCTATACAAATGCATACTAATTCCCTTACCTTGATAAACTAAATTTTGTGGATTCTAACTAACAAAAATTTAATGTCAAGCATTTATTCATTTTATACAAAGATAACATTCAAACTCCTACAAGCCATAAATGTCCTGCCCCATCTTAAATGGAATCAACCTTGATTTATATTAACTAGAAGTCAGGGAAACTACATTTAAGAATTTATTCAGGGAGGCTCACACCGCCATTATCTTCACAACACAGGAACAACATAATAATAAATAATATAATGGTCTAAAATACAAGCTGTGTCCGCTTCATTCATTTCATCATGGAAAAAAGACTACCACAGTCATAATTCATAGGAAAAATGCATTCCATTCCATCCATAATTCATATGCCTCCTTATGCAAGAATTCATTTTTCACCGAAATGATTGTGATTTGGAAAGAAGCAAAAACAATGCACAAATTGAAAAGAACAGATCATGGTGCTTTTAAGTATCATACCTTTTAGAACCATCTAAATATTCTTGCATCCAGGGTCTCTTTAAATCATAGTCTGCTTAAATGAAATGCTTGTGAGCATCACATCCTTTGTCTTTGGAAGAAATCTCCAATTTTCCATGTCAAGGAACTACTTATAACTGTAAGACAAACCAAAAGTGGCATAAAGAGACTACCAACAAAAAAAGACATAGGAGAAATGAAGAAAGGTAGTTGCCATTTGAACAGGGCTAAACCTTGCCAATTTAGTAGACCATCATAAACTAAAAGCACGTTATTTACACTCTACTATATAATAATTAAATAACAGAAATAAAGTAAAAACCAAATTAAATAATAAAAAGAAGAGCCAGTTACCAAAAGATCTTCTTGGGGTATTTCCCATGTAAAAATCTTGCACAAGATTGAAGGTTTGGTGTATAATTGACTCCAATAATCACCTGTCCTAGACTCTGATCAAGAGACTGAAAACCAAAAGATTTGTGGCACAGGGATTTCCACAATAAAAGATTTATAAACTACCATTCCCACAAAGTCAATGCCCCGACATTGATGATTTTTTTTTTCTTTTTTCTTCCGGGAACTTTAGATGCATTACTTTCACCCATCAGTCTCCTCACCCCCTCGGCATCTACAAACCTACAAAAACCAGCATATATATTGGACAAAAGCACATAATCACCACCATATCTTCTCTCCATCTCTAGTATCGTCCTCATAACTCGCTCTGCAATCTGAATATTACCATGGAAGCTACAGGCTCCTAGCAATGTCCTCCAAATCACAACATTAGCAATCTCAGTAGGAATCTGCAAAGCTATCATCTCAGCTTCCTCTAACTACCTTCCCTCCCCAACATATCTATTAAGCACCCATAATGCTTAATTTCGGGTACAACTTGACACTCACTAAGCATCTTTCTAAAAAAACTCAAGCCCCTCTTCAACCAATCCTCCATGACTGCAAGCATTTAAAATACTCAAGAACGTTACGCGATTTGGCATCAAACACTCATCTTCCATTCTTTTAAAACTATCTGCTGCATGTTTCCCCATTCCATGCATTGCAAATCCAGAGATTATAGATGTCCACGACACCAAATTCCTCTTTTCACAAGTTATGCCATGGAAGACTTTTACTGCACTCTCAATGCACCCACACTTTGCATACGCATCTATAAGGGAATTGGTAACTCGAATGTCACTCATTAAACCCACTTTTCTCTCCATAAGTATGAATTAATTGGCAAGACTCGAGACACCGAAGATTCCGTGTGGACGGAAAAATTGCTAGGATTGTTACTTCAGTTGGTTTAATAGCCTTGTCCACAACCATTGTCCGAAACAAGGCCAAAGCTTGCTTGTGTTAGTTCAACTGCGAGTACCCGTCAATGATATCAGCCCACGAAACAACATTTTGAGATGGCATCCGGTCAAAGAGAGAACGGGCAAGGCCAATCTGCCCCCATTTAGTTGAACCAGTGATCAAGGCATTCGAGGTGACTGAGTTCCTCTCAGGCATTTCATCAAACACTTGTTGTGCTTCAACTAAACACCCACAAACCGAATACATGTTGACCAGAGCAGTTTGCACATAGATGTGATGCTCAAAGCCGGCTTTGACAGTGAGGCCATGGACCTGAGTACCCAAAGTGGGTTGTTCCAAATTGGTGCAAGCCTTGATGAGAAAAGAGTAGGAATAGTTGTCGAAGGAGATGATGGGTAGGTGTAGAAGTTGGAGGTTCTTGAAGAGTAGGACAGCTTCTTTGGGGGAGGAACCGAGAGAGTAGTGTCGGAATAGGTAATTCCATATTGTCATAGACGTTCCAGTAGAGTGAATGCCATTGAAGATCAATTGAGCGTGGATTTGTCGGATGGCTTCGCGGCTTGTTATGTGTTTCATTAGCAGAGATAGCAAGTAGGGCATGTGTCTCCTCTTCATGGCCACCTCTGCACTGTGAAATGCAACCTGTTAACTTGTAGGAAAATGCTAGGCATCATGAAAAATGCTTCATGAAAATGATTATGAACAAATCTCCATCCTTGTATTACACTTTGTAACTTATTGTATATCTAATCTAAAGGTTAAAAATATTTCTTGATCATTTTCCTGAAATATTTTTCATGATACCTAGCATTGCTAGTAAGGGCTCGTTTGAAAATAATTTTTTGGTATGGCTTTTTTATTTATTTATTTATATTATTTTAGCATAGTTAAAAATATTTTGTTTGAGATGAATTTTTAGTTTTTTTTTTTTTTTGATAATTGTGAGAGAATAAGTGAAATGATTATGGATTGGATGTGATATTTTGTCTTATTGACTTTTTAGCCTATTTCATTCTTTTTAGCCTATTTTATTTTTTAGTGGGCTAATTTAGTCTCATTCATCTTGCCAACACATTTGGGTTGCTTATTACAAACATACGTGCAAAAAGTAGAAAAGTAATTTGACATAAATAAGTCAATAAGCCAATAAATAGCTTATTTAGGTGGTACCCAAACCTTCTTACTAAAGTGTGAACAAATATACGAGTATTGGTATTTACTCCTATCTTTTTTTCTTAGAACCCCCACGGGAAATTCCATTTTCACACACCTACCTACTTACCTTAGTATACATCATATCTCAGTACACATATTTATTAATTATTCTTTTCAATCCACACACTAAATGTTTCAATTATACCCTTCACTCATACCATTGTACACACACCACCTTAACCCTCATTCCACTCACTAGCTGAAAATTGTAGACTCACTGCTACAGTTCTATTCTAGACAAAGAAGACCACAGTCCTCCATTGAAGACCTCCATTCCATTGAAGACCCTATCATAAATATTAAAAAAAATATATATTTACTATGAACCAACGAACTAAAGACCAAAAACAAAACAAAAAAACCAAAGAGAAATATTCTCATGATAATTCTGAAATATTTCAACAAGAAAATAAAACACTAAAAAAATAAAAGTAGACAATTTTCATCTCTTTCTTACTTCAATTTGAAGCAATTTCATATTAAACACAAATAAAAACCAAACAGGTCACCAAAAGAACCTATCTTCATCCAAATTATTAGCTAAAATCCCACCAATATCTTGTATTCATAAAATTTACATTCAATTGCACATGAATTTTCTCATCAACTTAGGATCCATCATCCTGTTGAACATTCTCGAAATCAAAACCGAAATCAATACAATTATATGAAATCAAAAACTATTCCACTCGCGATCGATCTTTAATGTTTAGACAACAAATTAGGGTTTAGATTTTGACGAATCAAGAGAGATCAAACGACAATGAGGTGAATTTTAGATGAGACTGAGGGTTTTAGACAACTGGGAACAATGGAGAGAAATTAGGGTTTAGATTTTTTTAATCTGCTGAGATTTTTTTATTTTTTAGAGAATATTTTAATATAATATTATGGGTGTGTTTTGATATCCATTATAGTCATTTTATTTTAGGATATAATTGTTATTAAAATAATATTTCATTAAGTGTGTGTACTGAAGTAAGTAAGTGTTTGGAAATAGAATTTTCCACCCCCCACATCTTTCATTTTTTTAATTCCAGTATTGTCCAAACATGAAATTCCATTTTTACCCTTATTCCTAACTTTTTAACCCTAATTTCCTAAACCCTAAACCTAATCCCAGCAGCCATCCCCATTCCCGTCGCCCATCCTCTCCGTCACCCCAACACCAATTACCTTTCCCTTTCCTCTATATGTGATTCGTAACTCCGCTGCCCCTACTCCAGTCGGCAACCTCCGTCACACCATCACCAACATCACCTCCAGCCACCAAAACCCTCAACCCCACTCACCAACTACCAATAACGCTACCACCTAAGCTACTCTTAGACACTTCTTTGCTACCTTTCAAGCTTTGCCCTGCGCAGTCTATCTCTACCTACCACTGATTGCAATTGCAATCACAAAAGGTCAACGATGGTAGCAATCTACTTTATTGCACTATCGTCAAGACTACAACACTGCTTGAAATCTCCCCAAATTCAATTAGGTAGTTCAGGCCCGAACCACCACCATTTGTTCGATAGTCTACAACCGAACTACCACCGTTTGTTCAATACTGGTTTTCCGAACTAGACAAGACGATTTCAAATGAAGAAAAATCAAACACGAGCATGGTGGGAGAGGGCTCTAGGGTAATTGTGTGGGTGGCGGCGATGGAAAATGACTGAGATTAGTGAAATGAAAGATTTGGGTGAAAGAAATGAGGTAGAGGATCAATGGTGGAGAAAGAGGAAGGAAGATGGAGCTAAGGAGATAGGTTGTTGTTGGAGAGGAGTCATCTATGAGAAGAAGGGTCTCCAGTGAAAAATGAGGACTATGAGAGGGTTGCTAGTGAAAGAGAGAGTGGTGAGGAATAGAGGTTGCTGGAGGTAGGGGTGGGCATAGGAGTGCTGGTTGAAGTATTGGGTGAAGGTTTAAAGCGCATAGTTGGGGTTATGACAGGGGTTCAAAGAAAAATGAGGAAATGAGCAATTTTGGTGGTGTGGGTTCAAAGAAGTGAGGAGGTCCTAATAGGAAAAATAGGGACATTTAACAACACTCAAAATATATATTAAAAAATGAAATAAAATATGAACACCATTAAAGATGGGTTGGATGAAGTTTTGGGAAATTCTGGTGGGTACCATATGTATCATGTTATGTATTTTTGTGATGTATATTATATATTTTTATGGTAAATATTAAGTACTTTTTTTTATAGTTACGACAATTTGTAGTTCAAAAATAAAGTTACATATTTTGTGGTATTGTTATGTACTTTTTTAAAGTAATGTTACATATGTTTTTTATTCAAACATTTTCTAACAAAGAAAATGTGTAATATTGCAACACCCCAAAAATAAATAAATAAATAAATCCAACTCATAAGCGGAAGAATAATAGAAATAAAATACTTTCATTCATCAGAGTTTGTTTACAAAAGATAATACACGCAATATACATTCATAAATGTTCATCCTGAATCTAAAGCATGTAATACCAGTTATTGATCAACAAAAATAAATGCCTTATAGGCTTACATCTTTCCAAGACATTGCTTGGTTACGACAAAAGAGAGAATCATAAGCTCTGTACACATAAAGCCCTAGGCTTGAACGAACATTAAATACAAAATAGCAAAAAGAGCCTTTAGTTCCAAGGTCCTCCCAGGCTATGTCCTTAGAGGAAGCATGTCACCAATATCTGAAAATGGTTTCCCAAGTAGGGTGAGCCAAAATCCAATACAAACAATCTAACATAACATGTGAGAATTAACGAGATAAAGTATGATGCACATTTTCATTGTCCAACAAAATCTTTATAACTTTCCCCAAAACCATGGTATGCCAAACTTACATTTCAATTCATTCATTTTGGTTTAATAGATACATCCACTGTATTTAATCCACCAAACAGAGGATACACCTCATAGGTCTCCAACAAATTAAAATCATCACACAATACATTCACTTATATTTGCCATTTTACGAAAAGTTCATCCGCGGGAATCGGCACCCATGTATACAAATGGTTTTCGGGACTTTGACCCTGGACACATATGCCAACTTAGTTCAACGGAGTCCATCCCCTTTCTTTTCCTCAAAACATGGAGTACATCCCATTTCTCCTCCCAAATATCATACATATACAATGTATATCATTCATAATCATAGTCAATGATAATGGTTAAATGATTAGTTTCAATTCGCCTAATCCACATATAATGTCTACAATAATTTTGACTATCCCCCATTAATAGCCCAAAGCAGTTTTCTCTAAACAGATATACAATTTCTATAACAGATAAATCATTAAATTTCCATAGGTGAGTGATTAAGCAAATCCAACAACATCATTCATGTACACAACCTCCCAATTTCACATTTTTCATACCAATTTCATTATTTATAAAAAAATAATTATTCAAGATATTTTAGGGCAAAGCTCCCCATTTTCCAAATATTAACTCAAAGGCCAAAATCAACTATTTTGACACAAGATAACCTCATATCCAAAACCCATAGTCATTTATACCACACCCATATAGAAGCCCTTCTTTTCCAACTTGAACCTAAACCCCTAGGTTTGCTCAAAACATCCCCAAATCTCATCATTTTCATATAACCTATAACCAAGTTAAAACCCATATTAAGGTGTAGAGAGTTCCTACCTCAAGTTTAGAAGACCAAAGGAGCAAGGATGAAACTTCAAATGACGCCGAAATCAAGTTTCAATCGGATCCAAACGGAGCTCTCAAGATGCTCTACCCCTTTTTCCAAAGACACTAGGGTGGAGAGATCAAAAATGGTATTCAAAAGTTAAACTCATTATTGATGATTTTGAATTAAATATTATCCACCACTACTAATCTTTTTTTCAAAGAACCTAGTCACCCAAAGAGTCGTATTGTTCATGATCTGGTTAAATCTTATTTCCCTCCTGGATGGCATTTTACTCCTCTCCATCCAGAAAAAACAATTACTTTCTATAAAGACATCCTGTTCAACCATCAGTCAATTGTGATTAAACCCATTTATGATCGCACTTACACAAGTAAAATTGTGTACCATTCACTCTATATTCACAACTTTGTTTCTCTGGTTGATTGGGGTTCTCCTTATCAACTACGAGATCTGCTTGGTCATTCAATTCAATACAGTTACTATGATTACATTGATGCTTGGTTCAAAGTCCTCTTGTATCAAAATGAGTCAAACAGTTACTCTTGGTTTCTTCAATTTGATCAAAAGTTCAAATCCGAGTTACCTACCTGGTTTCTGCGATGGTGGACTCTATGGCGCCATTTCAGAAATCTTCCCATCTGTAATTCTGGAACAAGTCAATTACTTCTCCACTGTTTTCTCATTCACTCCTCAGCAAAGGAAATTCCCTCCATTGCTTATTTTTATATCCAAATACAAAATCCCTTGGATATTCAAATGGCAATATGGTATTTCTGATGATGTTATTTATCGTCAACACATATATATATATATATATATATATGGAGAGAGAGAGAGAGAGAGAGTCTCACTTTAGGGTTTTTGGAAGAAAAGATCTAAAAAAGTGATGTAAAAAGTTATTTTCGCGATCTGATATACGCACAGTCCGCTCGAGTGCCAGAGTTTACACTCGAGCGTCAGACATAATAAGTTGTTCCGCTCAAGCGCAAGAAGTCCCGCTCGAGTGCAGAATACACACCTCCCGTACTTTTACAGACAACAGACAAACCGCTCGAGTGCAAGAAAGGCTGCTCGAGCACCCATCCGCTCGAGCGTAGAAAACCCCGCTCGAGTGTGGAAAACACCCCTCCAATACTTTGGCAGACGTGCAAAGTACTAAGAGTTTGCAAATCCCGCTCGAGCGTAAGAAGGGCCGCTCGAGCGGAGGACCAAAATTCTGGGCAACACAAGGTTTGAAAACCAACCAAAAACCTGATCCAAACACACCCAACACGTCCAAATAACCAAATTTAAGGAGGAATAAAGAGGAAAAGACAATGAACAACATTCAGAAATCATAAACTCGAGTCCGGGCTACCACAAGTGTCGGGTCAAAACCGGGATCGCTATAAATATTACCACAAAAATATATAATATTATCACAAAATAAGTAACTTTATTTCTAAATCATAAATTTTCGTATCACAATATGTGGCATATACCACAAAAATCCATAACAAGAGTATGCGTATTATGAAAGTGGAAGAAATTGGTGTATGATTAAGATGAAACATCATTTTGCCCCCTGAATTATCACTTAAAAATCAATTCAATTCTTGTTTTTTTAATAATATTAATTTACACCTAAATAATTTGATTTTGGATCAATTTTACCCCTATCATTAGCTACCATTTATAATCAAACGGAAGTTGCTAACATGATATTAAAATTTCGTTTTAAATTTTATTTTATCCCCCAAACTATCTCCAAAATATCAATTAGACCCCTAATTCTAATTGATATTTTGGAGATAGTTTTGGGGGTAAAATAAAATTTCAAATGAAACCACGTCAGCAACTTCCATTTGATCATCGATGGCAATTGATAGTGAGGGTAAAATTGATACAAAATTAGATAGTTTAGGTATAAAATTGATGTTATTAACAGAACATGGGTTGAATTGATTTTTGAGTAATAGTTTTGGGGACAAAATGATATTTTCTCTATGATTAAACACCTCCTCCAAGTGTTCGTACTATATATATCTTGGTGTCTTGTAGTGCATTACGTATTTTTGTAGTAAATGTTACATATTTTTTTGGTAGAAATTAGGACAATTTGTGGTTGGGAAATGAAATTATTTATCTTTGTAGTGATGTTACATATTGTGGTTAGAAAATGTTTGGATAAAAAAATGTATAACATAACCATAAAAATGTGTAACATTATCATAAAATGCGTAACTTCATTTTTTAACCACAAATTATTGTAACTCTTATAGAAAAAAAATACATAACATTTATCACAAACCTACATAATATTTATCTCAAAAAATACATAACATGTGTATATAGTACAACATCCAGCTTGTCTCCAATTGGAGATCAGGACTGGACGGTCCAGTCCATGCCGTGAACTCAGTTTTGGGTCTCGTTTTGATTATTCAAACCTTTCATATTTTAAGATTTGTCATGTATATCATCCATGCAAAAAATCAAGTCGATCAGATAACAACAACCACGTGTTTGAATAAGTTTTATATGAATCGTTTATTTTTTCACCGTCTATTTTTTTTTTATACAAAATTGATTCGAACACGTAATTGTCGTTATCCAATTGACTTGATTTTTTGCTTGCATGATATACTCTACGAATTCTAAAATATGAACGATTTAGATCATCAAAACAGAGCCTAAAAATAGGTCTACGGCATAGGCTAAACGATTCAATCTTGATTTTCAACTACTCTATCCGTCCCAAAATATTAGTTCCTTATTCTATTTTTTATTGTCTCAAAATGTTAGTCCCTTATTTTATTTTTTATTATCCTAAAATATTAGTCCATTTGTAAAAATTAAGGAATAAACTAATATGTATTTACTATTTTGCTTTTCTTTTAAATTTATTAATAATATAAAAAATACAATTATGACAATTGATATTTTAAAAAAAAATGTATTATCAAAGAATAATTTTAAAAAATTAATATTTTTAAAATATAATAATTATACTATTAAAAAAAAAGTTAAATTTGAGGAGGGAGGAAGTAAAGACAAACTGGATCCTATAATATACACCCATAATAAAATAATATGTATTTACTATTTTGTTCTTTTTTTAAATTTATTAATAATATAAAAATACAATTATAACAATTAATATTTTAAAAAATATATCTATTATTAAAAGGTAATTCTAAAAAAATAATATTTTTAAAATATAATAATTATAGTATTAAAAAAAAAGTTAAATTCGTCAAAAGAAAGACAATTATTTTAGGAGGGAGGAAGTAAAGACAAACTGGATCCTATAATATACACCCATAATAAAATAATATGTATTTACTATTTTGTTCTTTTTTTAAATTTATTAATAATATAAAAATACAATTATAACAATTAATATTTTAAAAAATATATCTATTATTAAAAGGTAATTCTAAAAAAATAATATTTTTAAAATATAATAATTATAGTATTAAAAAAAAAGTTAAATTCGTCAAAAGAAAGACAATTATTTTAGGAGGGAGGAAGTAAAGACAAACTGGATCCTATAATATACACCCATAATAAAATAATATGTATTTACTATTTTGTTCTTTTTTTAAATTTATTAATAATATAAAAATACAATTATAACAATTAATATTTTAAAAAATATATCTATTATTAAAAGGTAATTCTAAAAAAATAATATTTTTAAAATATAATAATTATAGTATTAAAAAAAAAGTTAAATTCGTCAAAAGAAAGACAATTATTTTAGGAGGGAGGAAGTAAAGACAAACTGGATCCTATAATATACACCCATAATAAAATAATATGTATTTACTATTTTGTTCTTTTTTTAAATTTATTAATAATATAAAAACACAATTATAACAATTAATATTTTAAAAAATATATCTATTATTAAAAGGTAATTCTAAAAAAATAATATTTTTAAAATATAATAATTATAGTATTAAAAAAAAAGTTAAATTCGTCAAAAGAAAGACAATTATTTTAGGAGGGAGGAAGTAAAGACAAACTGGATCCTATAATATACAACCATAATATTTCCCATGATCAAGGTATGCGTCAAATCGGTCCGGCGCCAGCGTTGTTCATGATCATTTTCGTGAAGCATTTTTCATGATGCCTAGCATTTTCCTACTAGTTAACAGGTTGCATTTCATTGTGCAGAGGTGGCCATGAAGAGGAGACACATGCCCTACTTGCTATCTCTGCTAATGAAACACATAGCAAGCCGCGAAGCCATCCGACAAATCCACGCTCAATTGATCTTCAATGGCATTCACTCTACTGGAATGTCTATGACAATATGGAATTACCTATTCCGACACTACTCACTCGGTTCCTCCCCCAAAGAAGCTGTCCTACTCTTCAAGAACTTTCAACTTCTACACCTACCCATCATCTCCTTCGATAGCTATTCCTACTCTTTTCTCATCAAGGCTTGCACCAATTTGGAACAACCCACTTTGGGTACTCAGGTCCATGGTCTCACTGTCAAAGCCGGCTTTGAGCATCACATCTATGTGCAAACTGCTCTGGTTAACATGTATTCGGTTTGTGGGTGTTTAGTTGAAGCACAACAAGTGTTTGATGAAATGCCTGAGAGGAACTCAGTCACCTGGAATGCCTTGATCACTGGTTTAACTAAATGGGGGCAGATTGGCCTTGCCTGTTCTCTCTTTGACCGGATGCCATCTCAGAATGCTGTTTCGTGGACTGGTATCATTGACGGGTACTCGCGGTTGAACCAACACAAGCAAGCTTTGGCCTTGTTTCGGACAATGGTTGTGGACAAGGCTATTAAACCAACTGAAGTAACAATCCTAGCAATTTTTCCGTCCATACGGAATCTTGGGTGTCTCGAGTGTTGCCAATTAATTCATTCTTATGGAGAGAAAAGTGGGTTTAATGAGTGTGACATTCGAGTTACCAATTCCCTTATAGATGCGTATGCAAAGTGTGGGTGCATTGAGAGTGCAGTAAAAGTCTTCCATGGCATAACTTGTGAAAAGAGGAATTTGGTGTCGTGGACGTCTATAATTTCTGGATTTGCAATGCATGGAATGGGGAAATATGCAGCAGATAGTTTTAAAAGAATGGAAGATGAGTGTTTGATGCCAAATCGCGTAACGTTCTTGAGTATTTTAAATGCTTGCAGTCATGGAGGATTGGTTGAAGAGGGGCTTGAGTTTTTTAGAAAGATGCTTAATGAGTGTCAAGTTGTACCCGATATTAAGCATTATGGGTGCTTAATAGATATGTTGGGGAGGGAAGGTAGGTTAGAGGAAGCTGAGATGATAGCTTTGCAGATTCCTACTGAGATTGCTAATGTTGTGATTTGGAGGACATTGCTAGGAGCTTGTAGCTTCCATGGTAATATTCAGATTGCAGAGCGAGTTATGAGGAAGATACTAGAGATGGAGAGAAGATATGGTGGTGATTATGTGCTTTTGTCCAATATATATGCTGGTTTTTGTAGGTTTGTAGATGCTGAGGGGGTGAGGAGACTGATGGATGAAAGTAATGCATCTAAAGTTCCCGGACTTAGTCATGTCTGATAAAACCAGAAGAAAAAAGAAAAAAAAAAAATCATCAATGTAGGGGCATTGATTTTGTGGGAATGGTAGTTTATAAATCTTTTATTGTGGAAATCCCTCTGCGACAAATCTTTTGGTGTTCAGTCTCTTGATCATAGTCTAGGACAGGTGGTTATTGGAGTCAATTATACACCAAACCTTCAATCTTGTGCAAGATTTTTACATGGGAAATACCCCAAGAAGATCTTTTGGGTAACTGGCTCTTCTTTTTATTATTAATTTGGTTTTTACTTTATTTCTGTTATTTAATTATTATATAGTAGAATGTAAATAACTTGCTTTTAGTTTATGATGGTCTACTAAATTGGCAAGGTTTAGCCCTGTTCAAATGGCAACTACCTTTCTTCATTTCTCCTATGTCTTTTTTTGTTGGTAGTCTCTTTATGCCACTTTTGGTTTGTCTTACAGTTATAAGTAGTTCCTTGACATGGAAAATTGGAGATTTCTTCCAAAGACAAAGGATGTGATGCTCACAAGCATTTCATTTAAGCAGACTATGATTTAAAGAGACCCTGGATGCAAGAATATTTAGATGGTTCTAAAAGGTATGGTACTTAAAAGCACCATGATCTGTTCTTTTCAATTTGTGCATTGTTCTTGCTTCTTTCCAAATCACAATCATTTCGGTGAAAAATGAATTCTTGCATAAGGAGGCATATGAATTATGGATGGAATGGAATGCATTTTTCCTATGAATTATGACTGTGGTAGTCTTTTTTCCATGATGAAATGAATGAAGCGGACACAGTTTGTATTTTAGACCATTATGTCATTTATTATTATGTTGTTCCTGTGTTGTGAAGATAATGGCGGTGTGAGCCTCCCTGAATAAATTCTTAAATGTAGTTTCCCTGACTTCTAGTGAATATAATTCAAGGTTGATTCCATTTGAGATGGGGCAGGACATTTATGGCTTGTAGGAGTTTGAATTTTATCTTTGTATAAAATGAATAAATGCTTGACATTAAATTTTTGTTAGTTAGAATCCACAAAATTTAGTTTATCAACGTAAGGGAAATTAGTATGCATTTGTATAGAATCATTTATGTTTGATATAATTTCATATACATTTTTCAGGGATCAAAACCAAGAAACCAATGAGATGGAAAATGCTGAATTTGACAGTCACTTTCAACCTTGCTGGTTAAGCAGAAGCCAAAGCAAGTTCCATCTGCAGTATTAAATGATCAGAAACCCACATTTTTTTGACTATGCAAGTCATTTGTAGTATGAGCAGCGGCAGTATTTATATGTTCGCCAATGGGTTGAGTTTTGTAATTGATTTTCAGGTGATCTGTAGGATTGTAGTGTGACATGGGTTTTCTCTTTGTAACATTGCTGTTCTGATCAATTCAAGTGGTGTTCACTTCATTGTGATTGAAAAGCAATAAGATCTTCCTCATGTGATGTAAATATTGTACATGAAAGATGAATTATTTAAATGGCTAAGCTCACATAGGGAGAAGTGTGAAATAGTGTTAATTCCTTTTCTTGCTGTTTGTCAATTGCGATTTAGGCACCTTTGAAGATTAAGGCCAAGTTTGGGAAGACTAAATAAGTGTACTTTTTGACTTTTTTTATATTATGTGTAGAAAAAGTAAAGAGAAGATGTTGATTGATGTGACCCAAAAAAGATAAAAAGATGAAATAAGTGCACTTTTTTTTGTTAGCCAAACTTGGCCTAAAACTTGGATTGGATTGTATGTCCATGATACCACATTCGGTTTTCTACAGCAATAAGTGGATGAATTTTATTTTGCAATTAGCTTATCTAATGTAATGAGTGTTTGGTAGTGGTTCTTACGATAGAGTGGCTTGAAATTCTTGGGTACTTGGAGTAGCCATGATTTATGTATTTCTGTGTGTGTGTATCCTATTTTGAGATGTGATGAAAATGAGAGGGATTAACAGGAGAAACTTGAAAACATTTAAGATAAAACCAGCTTGCTGGAAACTAGATGGATGGAGGGTTTGAGACCCAACTGGGTTGAAAGGTCAGTTTTTTAGATGTCGCACCCAAAAAGAAATTGCTGGCAGACATGTATATGATATATGTTGCTTTTACCTTTTTCAATGGTGAAACTGCTGGGAATAGGAGCAGATTAGAGAGCCTTCTTTGGTACTCAGCTTATAAGTTTGTTTATTGGCTTGAAATAAGTCCACAAATAAACTAGTGCTTTAGAAAGTTAGTTTGGCATTTGACTTTCGTAATGATTTTTTGGCTTCAAAAAGTTGGTTTTTGAGAGGAAACAGAGTAGCCAAATGGGCTCTGGCATTTAAGCTGAAAGAGTACCGAACAACTTGAATTTATGTTAATTCTCAAAACAAATTAGCCCTTAGGCATATGATTGTTGTTAATACTAAAATGCAAACCTTACCCGACTAGGAATAACCAAACTAGACAATTCATTGCTGACATTACAAAACTAATAAAAATGGAAAATTCAAACAAGATATGGAAATAACTAATTTAGACTCCTTAACAAGTGAATTCACCCAAAATCCAATTGGGTCCACTTCGAAGTGACGGATTTTGATCCAATCCATTTGGTTTACTAGAACTGCTTGGCCAACCACATCACGCCACCTGAGGAGGAGACCAAGATCACTTGAACTTGAATCATTTGCGCTTCAAAGACAAAAATAGTAGGCTTCCTTGCATGTTGTTTGATTCAGACTGGGAGGAAAACTCCACAATATTTAGAGTATGTTCAAACAATTCATCAATAATTTCACTACCAAAATGTTTGGTGAAAATTCATTCAAAGTCAGCTCTGAGGCGCATTATTTTTTGTTACATCCACAAATATTTTTTTTTTTAAATTTTAAGATCTAAGCACACCTTCAAGAAGAGAGTTTGAAGGTTCAAACCAATCCACAAGTGGTACCACGAAATACATTACGAATAAATGTCTCAGCTGCAAAAGTGTGGAGTCTCAAATACTTTTGCAACTACAAGGTTGCCATTGCCTCTTTTTCAACACAAAAGGCATAGAGAACTTCAGATACGAATAAGATAACAACATTATAAACGGATCATCCTTGAAAATAAACGACTTGAAATCCACGGTAACATGATTATTATTACAAATTTAGTCAAGCTCATATGATATGATACGATACGGTCTGATCTAGAGTATGCGCCTGCACAGTGTGACACCATCACCAATGGAAATCTGAGCGATTTCGATTCGGGGGTCAGAGGCTAAGTGCTTGTTGAGTTCAATTATGGGCTTTTGGTTTGCACGGAAACGCTCGGGCACTTCTTCTTCATTGTTTACAACTGAACCACGATACAGAGTGTTATCATATGCAATAACACCTCCTACTTTCACCAGTTTTATCGCTTGCTCGTGATAGTTAATGTTGTTGGGCTTATCGGCATCCACAAACACAAAATCAAACTCCATTTTCAACTTACCCTCCTGCCATATATACACAATTCATATAATCACTTAGATTTACAGAAATTGGCACAAAAAATGTGATTGACAATGCTGGCAAAGAATGGCAGATCAAATTAGGAAAATGTTTTACACTCCCAAATGGTAAATTTAACAGTGTAAAAATAATTAATTGTGTAATTCTACTGGTCAATGCAATAAAAAATCGGCTTTAAAATTAAAAACTCACATCGCTCAACATTTCATTGAGAACAGAAATGGCATCTGATTCTATGAAATTGATCTTGTGCTCCACACCAGCCTTCTGAATGAATGGCAGTCCAACTTCAAATGCTTCCCGATTTGGAGCTATTGCTACTATCTGTTGAAAAATTAAAAAAAAAAATAATAATGAAAACAAAAAGACTGATTTAGATTATGTCTATATTGGAATCTTATCATCATTTTATGAGGGAACAATTATTTTAGTAATTAGAATCTTGTCAGCTTGTCATGTTTAAATCCCAGTAGAACTTAGTCTCTCATATTGAGCAAGTACTTGTCCTAGTTACCTCATTACTGAACTCATTCCCCAATCAAAAAAAGAAAAGAAAAAAAGTACTTGTTTTGGAGATAAGACCATGACCATGAGATTAGACTATGTATCTTGATCAATCTTGTGTCATATTTGGATATAAAATGCGTCTTAGGATTGATAGTTCCGCTGAATTGCATATCCCTCATATTGGGAATTATTGAGTCCCATTGAGAAGGATACAAAATGACCGAGTAAGGAATCCAAATTATGAGTTTAAAAGACCAAAATATCCTCAAACATGGTCATTACATTATGTAATCAATGTCTTAAGGATTTCAAACAAAAATAGAATAGGTTACATAATTCCTTCCTATTGCAGGAACATTCCAAAAGTGGAATAAGATACGTAATTCCAAAAAATTGGTAATTCCAGAATTATTAGTTTCAAAACTAATGATCCCATGTAATCTAAGTCATCCTTTGTAACTTGGCTAAAAATTTAGTTGACTAAAAATAGACCCACAAAAAAGCAAATGCAAACAAAAACAAAAACAAAAAAGTTTGAAACAAACATGGTCACAAGTATTCCATTCTGCTCACAAGAAAGGGGTTTGAAAGGTTAAGGTAATTTTAATATTTTGCGTGACCATGCCATTTTCAGATGAAATGACAACTTCTTGATTTAAAAATGTTAAAAAGCAAATTTTTAACAAACTCTTTCGGGCTTGATTTAAATTTGATTACAATTTAAAGAGGGAGTTACAAACCTGGCCATCATGAGGTAAAGCAAGGGCAGTGGTAAGAAGAGAATAGCCAGTGAAAACACCAATCTCCAATGTCTTCTTCGCATTCATTAATTTCAAAAGCATAGACAAGAACAATCCTTCATCAGGGGGCACACTTAGCTCCGCTCTACAATTCAAATTGCAATTTTGTTATACTTTTTTTTTTTTTATATAACAAAAATAAAAATTAACTAAATAAGTTGTGAATAAACAAAATTCTGAAAACATTTTTTTTTTTTTTAATGTTTCATTGGCCACTACTTGAAATCAAGACCATTCATAAGTAGTAGTGCATTGTGGCCAAAACTTGTATTAACAAGTTAACTGGGCGGATTAAAAAAAAAAGGAAAAATCATTTTCAGTCCATGATTTAGACTGTATGGTACTATCCGGGCTTGTGGAGATCATCATGGATTTCATTACGATGATCCGAACAATTTATTTTATAGAGTTCTTTGTGTATATCATGCACAAAAAAATAAAACAAAAAGGAAAAGTCGATTTAAGAAATGCGATTAATTGAATAGGTTACGATTATCAAATTGACTTAAATTTTTTTGTGAATGATATACACAAAAGACTTTACAAAATAAATGGTTTGAATTATGGAAACAAAACCCGTGGTTGGCTCCATCAATCCCGACAATACCCTCTAGTCCATGATTTTGACTAGATAGAAGCTAGGTTCAATAATCTAATTATAAAAATATATTTCAGGTTGCTTAAAATGATGTTTGAGTTTATTAATATTGTCAACCATATGTGAGCAAGTCCCTAACCTGTTGCCATATTTCTTGAATGTTGCATCTCTTAGCCACTTGAGCTGCTCATGTTCTCTTGGGTATGCATTGGTATCCAAGATGTACTACTTAACAAAATTGAATCAATAAGCAAAATGATTGATATAAATCCATAAAATGGTGTTGCCCACATCTAAAACAAGTTTTTTTTTTGATGAACAAATAAAAACTTTTTTTGATGAGAATCAATGTACATAGTATACTAAGACAAACATCAATCAACTGGAGCGATTGGGGGTACAAGTGCGCAAAGCATCAAAGCAAAAACTCAACAATATATGAAAAAGGAAAACATAAACCAAAAAGGAACAAATAAAAAGAAAAGAAAAGAAAGGTGGTGGCTGGCAGTAGGAGTGTATATATTGTTCGCTTCGGTCAGGTTTTAGAAAGAATTTGGAACCAAAATTTTTCTCTACATTTGTATTTAACAATAATCAAAGCATACCATTCGTCATTATAAACCACACCAAACTGCTATGCATTGTGGCAGTTTGGTCACATTTTGAAATTTCATTCTTTTAATGAACAATCAATTAACAATATAATGAAAATACGTCGTTATAAACTCAGTTTTCCTGTTCAAAATATTGACACCACCAATTCTCTCATTTAGACGAATCAAAGGTATACTTTACATAATAATGCTACAATGGTCAAATTTGTTTAAATGAGCGAAACTAGGTCTTCAAGACTATTTAAGCTACACCCTGGGTCCTACAAAGTTGGTGACGTAACATTCTTCATCCAATTTTGGACTAACATTAGTTGTTGGATTAAATTGAGAAAAAATAAGAAGGTAAGGAAAGTAGGAAAAACACTTTAAAGGCCAAAATTGAAAAACACTAAAACATAAGGGGGCAGAGTGTATTTATCCTTATTTTTGCCTCATGGCTTTTCATCCAATTTTGGTCGGATATTGGTTATTGAAGAAAATTAGAAACGTTAAGGATCAAATTGGAAAATGAAATTTAAGGGAGTCAAAATGTAATTTATAATGCTACAATTACCACATTTATATACATGTTGGCTTTTTGGCTTTTCGAAGGGTATTTTTGTAAATGTGAGCGTGCCAGCAAGGATCAATCAGTCCTTACAGAAATTGTGATTGCCAACCAATTACCAGACGATTGTGTTTTAGTTCTTTCAGCCTCAATGAAGAGGACTTTTACTGGTGGCTTGACTTAGGAGAAATTAAGAGAAATAACAATAATATGAAGAACAATTGAAGTATTTCATAAAAATGAACACTTACAATGGTCCGAACTCAGCCTCGGATAGGTTTACAACAGCAATCTACTTGAATCTACTTGAAGCTACTCCTATGAATCGAAGTGCAGTACGAGTATTTAAAGTGCAGGTATTTAAAGAACAGGTATTTAAAGACTGGAAATGTAAAAGACTGGAAAAGAAAATATATGAAGTAAAATGACTGGTTTGTATGATCTGAGTCCGTCCTTTTCTGGGGGCTGCTCTGCTATTTATACTCGTCAGTGATGACCTTCGAACTGCACTTCGAACCGTCGAACTGCTCCTCCATGATCGCTGATCATGCTTCCTTAAAATTAGCTCTACTACGCCATGTCTGCAGTTAGGCTCCCCTCCTAATTTTGAATTTGAACCTTGTGACTATCGTTAGGCCACATTGCAGTTAGGCTTCCCTCTTGTATTTGAATTTGAATATGAGTAACCGTTGAAGCCACATCACCTTGTGTTTCTTTACTGATCCAATGTTGTTCAGACCATGTGAGAACTAATTATCATCACCACGTGTATGATCAGGATTGGAGACTTAAATTATTTTCCAATAATACCCTTGTTCTGCCACGTGTCGGATTGTAACTGGCTTTTACAAAATATATAGCTAACATTACCCCCCGCACTAATATACCCAATACTTGGTGATATTAGTGGACCAAGAAGCTTTTCCCGCGCTTTTGGATCGTGTATGGAATTCATCTCCAGGAAACATAACCGTCACCTATTTGATGATTATTTGCATTAATTCCCTTTTGATTCTGTTGGATATCCCAACACTTTAGTATTCGAACAAACCATGGCTAAACCAACTCCCCTTTCTACTGATCAAGCACACGAAGAGTCATTGGGTAATGCTGATCCCCCTCGAAAGAACCTCCACGCATTCATTAGCCACCTTTATCCACCTTCCTATATTCAGGTTATGGATGCCTTTGCAAATTATCATCCTTTGGACCACGAATATATTGCCCTCAAGACTTCGATTCGACAAACTACAGCCATAGATACAAGAAGTTCTTCCTCTGATTCTTCCTTGTATTTCGAACAAACTGCTTTCGATCCCTCGATTCAGCAATTTGCAGCCATGGATTTAGGAAAAAATTCTGCATGGGATGAAGCTACAACTTCTTCATCTCCTGGGGCCTCTGGCTGGACCAACTGGTCAACACCTGAGACTTATGATTTGAGGGAGCGAATCAATCACCATTTCGTTGAATTCACTGACCCTTTGGAATTTCCTTCCTACGCTCGAAGTTCAGTGGTCTATCCTTATGTGCCCATTGACCAACGACGTAGCTTGGAGGAGAACTTGCTTGTGGCTTGGTATACATCTTCTATACCTACGAAGATAATGCCTGCTATCCGGCGCTCAGAAGAAGCACAAGGGTACAACCCATCATTCTTAGCCAAGAAGGCGAAGATCTGCTCTTCTGACTGGCTTGCTTATATTAATGCCTTTGTTCCTTCCGCTCCCGCGCCATCTCCTATAATGGAAGCATCCACACCTTCTTCTCCATCCTTTGAAGCTGAAGCATCTACATCTTCTTCTTCACTGTTTGAAGCAGAACCATCCACTCCGTCTCCTCCTCCTACTACTTTGTCCTGGACGGAGAAACTAAGGCTTGCCCTTCCAATGGACAAAGTTTTCCTACCTTACCAACCTCCGTCACCCCTTTCTCCAGCCGAGCGAAAGCAAGCTCAACTTTTGCTCGCGGCTTTCTCCCACCTGCCCTTCAATGTTCTTGAGGATGACATTCCTCTTAAGAACTTTCGATGGGCTTGTGATGTCCTGACTAGGGGTTATGTCCTCAACCCTCTTGCCCAAGCAGAGCTTCATTTGTTTTTGGACCAACTTCCAGTGCTCCTTTATTGGCATCGGAATTCCATGGTCACCATGCAATCTTTAGACCAACTTTCGTTTCTGCAAATTCAGGCCCAGTATGAAGCAGAAAACTTCACCGAAGAATTCGACGACTTCAAGAATAAAGATTCTGCATATTGGGATGATTTGATCGTAGATGAATTGGAACAAAGATTGAGGGAGGAGGCTTTTGAAATAAAGGCTGAAGAGCTCTATTATGAAGTGAGAGTACATCAGCTCATGCAGCCAACTCTTGAAGAAATAGAAGATATAATAAAGAAAGAACAGAAATTCATTGACCATTGTTGGACTAAATTTCATGATCTTGTTATCTATTCTATTCCTTATTTTTATGAACTCGAGTTTGTACCCAAATGGGGTTATTCAATGTAATCTCTTTATCTTTAATACAAACAAAGTTCTTTTGCACTCGCCATTGCTCGACTCTGCTTCCTTTTATATTCATCTCACATGGCAGTTGATTCTCCTTCAGAGGGTGCTGATAGTTCCCCAACTCTTGGTTCATCATCTTTACCCACTTCCAGCCCCTCTTCACTTGATTCATTGGTGGTTAAGACCATAGAGGCTGCCAGAAATGCTCCACCTATTTCTCCTGTTCCCATGCAGTCATCTGTGCTTTTCACCACAACACTTTCTGCACCCCTCATGTCTATGGATGAGGTAGACATTTTCGAAGCCAAACTGGCTAGTTTCTCCGACACACCCTCTACCTCTCCATCATTTAATGCCGAAGCTGAGCCATTAGTCTTGGCTGACTCCTTGCTAGAAATTTTTGAGAGTTCTACCTCTAGCAGCAAGCCTTCTGCACCTTTGATAGATATGGGCACATGCCTAGAACTGCTAATTTCTTTCTCAAGAATTCCCTTCGAGGCTCTGCAAAGGCCAATAATCAGAGATGGGTTCCTTCAATGTTGCAAAATCGCTGAGCAGTCCGGCATGAAAGTTTCAAGTTATCTATCTCAGGCAGCAGCTACTGTTGACTTCTACCTCAACATTTGTCATGCTGCTAAGGCTGCAGACGAGAAACTGGCTAAGGATCAGAGTTTTGTTTCTCAAGTGCATACTGAAGTATCAGATCTCAAGGAACAGCACTCTTCTGCTTCTCAATTTCGAATTCAGCTGCTGGAGAAGAAAGCCCAACTTGAAAAGGAGCTAGCTGCAGTAAACCAGGCCTTGGTTCGAACCGATACCAAATTGCACATCACCAATCAAGAGTTGACTGATCGAAAAGGAGACATGGCTGCAGCTATCCAATTATTTCCGTTACTTAGCAATAGAAAGTCTACTGTACAAAAACAATTAAGACATTGTAATGATTTCTGGGCCAATCTGTGGCACAACGTATTTAATTCTTTATAAAAGAACAAATCTTGTGCATCATTCGAATAGCCTTGTGTTTCCCAAATGGTTGAAAAATAAGGTTTCAGATACCTGCCATTAATCTTTTTGGGATGTACATAACCATTTAAATTCCTTAAATGATATGCTCCAAAAGGCAAAACTCTATGAATTTGATATGACCCTTCCCAGTTAGGTGACCATTTGCCAAACTTATGGCTTTTAATTCCTATTAGGAGTATTGTTTTCCATACCAAATCACCTTCAGCAAAGCCAATGTGTTTAACTTTCTTGTTGTAATTCTTGGCTGCTTTCTTCTTCTGTAAAAGAATGCTATTCAAAGCCAGGATTCTGGCTTCATCTATGCCTTCTAACTCCAGGCACATGCTTTGATGGTATTGCTCGGGATCTAACTGATCTTGGCATTTTACCCTCAAAGATTTAATATTAATTTCCACAGGTAACACTGCATCATGCCCATATACTAAGGCATAAGGAGTAATTCCTGTGCTTGATCTTGGAGAAGTTCTGTAAGCCCACAAAACATCCAACAGAAGGTTGTGCCAATCCCTAGGATTATCTTCCACA